CAAACTGAGCGAGAAATGGCCGACTTGGTTTTGTCACATCTATATGTTCAGGAGAAAATCAGTGAGAAATCAAACTGAGCGAGAAATGGCCGACTTGGTTTTGTCACATCTATATGTTCAGGAGAAAATCAGTGAGAAATCAAACTGAGCGAGAAATGGCCGACTTGGTTTTGTCACATCTATATGTTCAGGAGATGTTGTAGATAAGCAATCAAGGTGAACCAAATAGTATCACTATTCATCGACCAACATACGGGAAAAACAAAATCTATGTGGACCGACCGACAGTTGAATAAACAGTCTGGAAGGTTCATTATGACGCACACCTTTGCACGTAGTAACGCCTTGACAAGCTTAACTCGATTTAGTGATGCAATATGTTACACACTCATTACATGCAATATTTAGGAAGCGAGTACATGTATATGTAGGTATACTTATTGCATGGGGCATTGCACTTCATGGCCCAGAAATGACACTGAAATCAGGCATGTAAGATATTGAGTCAGACACTTGTCAGTTGTCAGGTACGAAACGTAATTACCCTAAAGTATGCCTCGTAAATCTGAACCAGCTTTTCCTTGAGTGGTTTCTTAGAGGTGGAACCCTGTCTCAGGTAATGCCTAGCCTGCTTGTCCGCCATAGTAGCTAGCACAAAGGACATCGCTTCCAATTAATTCTTTATCGGTTACCACTTTCTCTTCTCTTGCAGTCGATTCCTCAGTAAAATACAGTTCACTCCTTTATACGTCTGCAGCCAATTTGATAGGCAGAAAGCTCCACTGTTTCAATAGCAGCAAAAACTGCCACAAAAATTTCAAAACTGCGCAAAAATGTTTTGCGAACGTAACGTTCGAAAACGCCCGAACGACGCAACTAAGTCCAACAGTTCAAAACAAAGTCAGTTCAAGTTCAACAAAGTTTTGTTTTTCGTTGACGGCGCGCTCAAATCAACGCAACGTCCGACGCACCGTCCACAAGTCCCGCCGCGCCCGGTCTCAGTCCGCCGTCAACCCCGTGCGAACGTTCACTTGTGCGAAACCCTGTCAACGGCGACGTAGAACTTGGTCCTGTCGCGAACGTCACACCAGCCGATGGGTCCCACCTCGCAGTCAGCGCACGTCAGGTACTTGGTCGTCTCCACCGTGTTGCTGAATCCGACGTTCTCGAACGTGCACATGTCGCCGACGAGCCAGAACTCTCGCAGCGTCTCCCCGTCGCCCGGCCGCTGGTTCTCCGTCTTCTTCTTCATGTGCGGAAGGAAGAACTCCACCTGGGAGAGCGAGGCGTCGCCGGCCTTCAGGACGACCGAGTCGCAGCGTTCGCAGCACACCGATTTATTGTTCGTTCGCGCGTCGGTGAGCAGGGCTTTCACGTCGTCGGAGATCGGCATCTGGTTGCTGTTCTCGCCCGTCGAGCTGCCGACATGGTCTTCCGGATTGGACGGTTCCATACTGGACCGATGTGTCTACGGAGGGGCTGATCTATGGAAGCACTTCGGCTGTAAAGGACGAGGCAATAAGCATTAGTGCTGCATCAGCGACGTGCCAAACAAACATCCAACACGAGTTGGTGTCAAGCTGTGTGTACATCGTACATTTAATGCAATACTTTTTGCACGTGTGATTTTCTCGCACGTCTGCTAAGTTAATGGAATTTAGTAGCTATAACAATTGCTCAGCAGTTACTACAGTTATGACCCGGAAACACAGAATACATGACGGGCTAGTTATCATGACCTTGTCACAAAACAGTACTTGGTACTGCC